TCCAGTCGTGATGGGGTTCGTATCAATTTTCCGGAAACACTTTCATTCGCATGACTCATTGGGAAATTGGAAATACCCCGATGCCGACGTGCGACGAGTATAATCAAGAAGAAAGTACATTATTATACATATCTGATCCCTTGGAGGGTTACAGGAATCAACAACTCCTTGATTATATGTGCACTGTAAACGGGGGTAATCATTCACACCCTAAAAGAGCTGTATGAGGTTCTCAGGGAATAGAATAACGCGAACAGTACAATTTTCATATGTTTTAATGGCCATCAAAATAATACTAAACACAAAAGCACATGGACCTAGGTAATTTTTTTTAGTAATTCTAAAGATACTGGAAATCTAAAATCTAAAAATGTTGTTAATTGATTTACAATTGCAAATACTTGTGTAATTCTAAATTAGAAGATTTTATAAGAATAAATTATGTTAAATTTATAAAGTACGTAAAATAATTATAATACGAAATAGACGTTATAACGTGAAATTAAATTTTAATTGACTCAAAAACGTAAAATAGACCATTTGTTCTAGCGGAGTATATTCAAAAGACTTATAAATACGGTGACAATATTGAGAATATAGTAAATTATAATTTTTGTATAGTGAACAGTGTCAATTTAATTTTAAGTTATTCAATGTATTTAATGGATAGTAAAGATTTATCTAGGCGTTTTTGAATACGCAGGGCAAACCCTTTCACCAATTAATATAATATATTCGATGTATTGCTAAATATCCCTCTCCCTATCTGGTAACCACCTGGTCACTCGTTTTGTGTTTTCCCACGCACATTCGACTCTATTATTGTGATTCCTAATCTGTTTTATAAGAACAGTTACTGCTTTTAATAAATCGACAAACATACAATAGTAATCAATTAATTTTGCATGCTTTTGGCATTTCGAAAAAAAATGTTTGTTTATTAATTACGGTCATCATTAAAAATATAATTTAAACAACGCGGTTTGTGTACGGAAAACGTCTGTTTTAATATAATTTTTTTAATGTCTCGGTAACTCGGTAGCTTTTGATGTGAGATTACTGATAAGTTGGACGCATAAAGACGGGATTCCGTGACGACCGACAGTATTGTCGATGACAGTCTCATCAACGAGTTCCTTTATTTTACCACAACGTCTCTAATGAATAGATATATTTAGTGGAATTTTTGTTGAAACTCGACCGTTAATTAACCCTTATAGCAGTACAAAGGGCTTTTAAATTATGAAAAATGAAGCCTTTATCAAATCCACGGGCTGGTTATTTGCTAATGAACAACTTCCAATGAATATATCCCCACATTAAATAGCCCTTTGCCATCAGAATTTAATAACTCGTATTATATTATGGTAAACACGACTCAAGTACTCAAGTGTGTGACGATGAATACTAGACAAATTATAAAATATGTAGTTTTTTTAATGTCTAAACCGTTCATTTGCTTGAATTAGACTTANAATGTGTGACGATGAATACTAGACAAATTATAAAATATGTAGTTTTTTTAATGTCTAAACCGTTCATTTGCTTGAATTAGACTTAACGAGTTCATAACATACGATTGAAAGGGGTTCAAGCGTGTGGGTAAAACAGCTGCCTATACAAAATATTTTGAAGTGCCCTGCTATTATAGTAATTTGATTAGGAAAATAATTCGAAGCATCATAATAGAGTTCTAGTGTCGTAAAGAGTAACTGGTTTGATTCACACCAACATGATACTGGAATATGTTACAAATTATAACGTAAATTGATATCGAAAAAAATTGTTGAAGTTTCTATTAAATAGAAACTTTAGTTTTCATATAATAAGTTATTGTGGTACAGAAAACGATTCATAATTATTTTCACTTAATAATAAGATAATCCGATAGCCTCGATAATTCTTGCATATGGTTACACTGTGTTTATTTAGCAAAAAGTATTTTAAAAATGCTATTTAAGCTAAAAATCTTTTTCGGTCAGTGCAATTATTTTCTTATACAATGTGGCTTTTGAAAGGAAATTAATCTGTCTACAAATCCATTAAAAAGTTAAGACGCTATTTACAAAGGTATTACGTGATAAGAATGATAGACCATTGTCCAGGCAAATAGGTTTTAATCTAGTCACGTAAAAATAAAAACCTTTTTTTTTTTTGCTTGTCCTTATCGTCGGCAGACAAAAATTTCGTTTTGATTGCTCTACAAAATGCATTTACACTCATAGCTTCTACCGAGTCTGGACGTCCATGAATATTAACCTTTTTTACTATTATTTTTCAATTGAAAATTTTGCACGCGTTCTGCAGTCCAGCAGACGTCTGCTGCCGATAGTTTTCGTGGTATTACATTATTTGAAAAGCAAAATGCGTACTATGTGGATAATCAACTGAGATACTACATAGTGTGTTAACACATTTTGTCGTCAATTTAAAACATATTAACTTTATGAGGCGAATTATCCTTTATGACATATAAATATGTACTCAGCGGACGAGCAGCGAGACGATTATTCGTCGCGCTCAGTAACACGCACTTGAAAACAGAACGGTTTTCGTGTAAGTATTACAACGAGGTTTAAAATATTCATATGCGCTCTTAGAAATATTTTGTATAATATATTTTATATTATTTGCTACTGCGGTGGGAGTAAAAGGGTTCAACTTCTCTTTGTTTCTTTTTGAATTGCTTCACAAAGTGGAGTATTTTTGAATATAAATTCAAAATTATATTCAAGAAGCGAAGATTTGTAAAGCTAAATGCTTAAAGTGGGAAATTCCAAAAAGAGACAATGGATTAAATATAACAATCGAGGTTTCGAAAAATAGAAAAGAGTTGTGGACTCTAAACATCACCCAACTGCGCAGTATAGCGGTAGACCAACAATCAAAGCATATAATTTATATAGAGATAAGCTTATAGCTGCTAGTAATTAAAAATAAAATAAAGTTATCACTAATAGGTCTATTGTGCGAGTGCAGTCAGAGATATTATGTTGCACTTCGTTCGGGAGATGCCGACCATGTTGACCCTAAAGTTTCCCGTGAGCCACATGGAGCTTGACAATTATTATTATTGTTAATATCCGCTTAATTGTGAACAAATTCAGACTATTTGTTTGTACGAATAGTGACTTTATCCATTACTAAGGCTTACACATTTGACACATACACAATATTCCCTGTAGATTTGTGTTGTCGAAAATAATGGAATTTTATTCGTAATGGAAACACTGAAGAAGTTTTTTTGTTGTGAATGATGTTGTCGCCCTTCTTTCTAGTCGGTACATTACCATAATGTGTAGATAATTAGTTTATTCGAGTCGACGAAATGGCCCGAGCGATTTGTGAGATTCAACAGCAAATTAGGTTTATCCGAAGAAAGTTGCTCGAGGCGTTTTCAAAAGTTCTCAAAGTACACTACACCATTGCGTACCAAATCGAGGGGAGAATAAGTTAGTGTCAACACATCTTCTTTTTTATTTTTATATGTGTTATTGGTACGCGGCAGGAGAAAGGGATAAAGGGATCATGAGTTTCTCAAGGCGGTGTCTTGATCGTATTCATCGAAAAAAAAAACAAGAGTTAGGTACACAACATGTTTGATAAGTCTAAGGAGTAAACATTTTTATGCCAAACATACGCTGTACAGAGTTAACTTTCAATTTTTTAAATGTTTTGGACGTGACAAGCGTATTGTGAACACAAAACTTTTTTTACTCTTTCCTAGATTACAAAATAGACTAATGTAAGCTTGCATGAAAAAATTATCAAAGGCAATAATTTTGCATTCTACATAAATAATTGTTTTTTTTAAGTAATTTTTTTTATTTAGTAAAACATGTTTTCAATGCCCATTTTTAATAATATAGAATTATTGACTAAAAACTATAACTAAGAACCATTTTATAAATAAAATAGTTTTTTAAAAAAATAATCATATCGGTATTAAATATTTGAAGAAAAAAGCAATTTCAGAAGTTACTTTTTTTCAAAAAATTGTTATACTTTATTTTTATTCGGGTCTACTATTTCGGAGTAAAATACTCGTGCCGCCTACGCATTCTTGTGTTAGTAATGTTGTGCGTTTTTTATGTACATAGGGTCAAAGACATTCTCATTACTGTACATAAATAACACACATAATCGTCCAACAACTGTCGTATGATAAAAATCGTTATTTTTTATTCTATAGAAGACGAATAAGTAAATAGAGAGGCCAATCTGTCTAATAAACGCGCTGATAAGTGATGAACAATATAGTGGTCATGACATTACAAAACATCGAATAGTTCGATGAATAAAGTGTTTACAGTTATATACACACACTCTTCGATCTCAGGAGAATTGAAATAATATCATTATTGTTATCGTCAAACAACATTTTTCAAAATACCACATACTTAATAACTTACTACACGCGCACACCTCAAGGTTTTGGAAAGCATTTTAAACACACTAAATGATTTGTTTTTCCACTCGAGACCAATGGACAGAGAATTTAATTGTCTTGTTTTTGCACGTGTATCGATTTATTTTTTGTCTAGATCTCGACGTTAATTCTGCTTCGACCAACTACGATTTCGATTGGGGTAATTTGGATTAATGAGCCACGTCGAGTTTCGGTAAGACGAAAGGAGTATGAATCCCTTGCGCGGGTAATTAATCAGTAAACAAGGCCCAGCAGACACAATATATACAAGCATAATCCAATTTCACGGACGAAATATCAATAACGGTGAGCGTAAGCGGAGGTCGTATAGGAATTTAGTGTTTGCTAATATCATTGGGTCTTCCCCTCATTCGCGAAATACATGACCACGTGTGCCAGAAAACGATACAACTGAACTAGAGAAATCATTCATGATTATGTATTTTGATACAATTGTTTGTTTTTTGTGTAAAATTCAAACACATTGAGCATTACTTCAATTGACCAGAAAAACGTTTTATTGAACTTAATTTTTTTAACTAAGTATTAAGTATAAATAAAATGTACTTACAGTCTGGACAGCAGTGGATTGTTAGAGAACACAAAATCGGAGACTTCCTTGAGATTGTTGCCGTTTAATCGTCTGAAAAAAGACAATGGGATATAAATAATTTATAATCAACTCGATTGTAATGGGTTATTCAAATTCGATAACATGTTTCTAACTTAATATTAAATACAATTTATTTAGTATATTTTCCCTCAAAGATGTTTTCAAATAATCTTATGACGCTGTATCTGACAACATAGTAAAAAGACACTATTATGAAAGTATGAAACAGGTCAACCGATTTTTATTACTATACTTAAACATTCGTTTAATATACAAAAATGTTATTTTCAGTATGGAATCCGAATATGTTTAAATATAAAAATGGTTTTTCTTTTTAGATCACTATTCTGACTGGAAATTGTTTTTATTTCTCATATTTGAACGTATTTATATTACATAATGTTACTGCGTTGATAGTTCTCATGTGTCACCTCGCATGACTGATTTCTTTGTTAAAGGAATATAACCAGTACAGATCATAAAATACACACGTATATATTTGAAATGCATATTCATAAATATTAAAGTCGTATGAGTAAAAATAATAAATGAGTAAAAAACAAACAACCCAAGTTGGGAATATTTTTTGCAACGTCATTCGCAGTCGTTCAATTTTATTGTTGTATGATGGAAATGTTTTTCTGTGGGTTAATGTATCAAAGTCACGTTGACCAATTGCTATGTGAAGCTATCCGCCAACAACATCGAATACATTCGATGAATTCATATTTAGGGGTATTTGTGGCGGGAGGTGTGGAAAATAATACACTTTTGCGAACACAACGGTCAACCGGGTAGTTTCTATTAATCACCGATCTGTCAGATTTTAGCGGTTATTTTCCCCTGGAAGACCAATAAAGCATCATTGACTCCGACAACTTTATTGTACTTCGCACGGTTTAAATTAGAGTACCCACTAAGCGTACAGATCACGTGCTGCAATTATTATCATTGTTCTTGTGATACTGGTGGGTGAAAAACAGTGCGGGGAAAATGCGTCGCATTGACAACGCCGAGAAGGTAAATTAGTTTATAGTGCTGCATATCGGTGAGAATTTTTCTCATTCTTGAATTCGTGACTTATTAACCGAGTGTTTGAGTTGTAAATTATCATTCAACTGAAATAATTCCAAGTTTGAAAATGTCGAATCGACGAGACTGGGCAGACGTAACGTGAAATGAATAAATTGCCGGCGTTCACTAGCCGCATAAATTTCTGCTTCGCCCTTTGAATATCCACCGACACTCGGAGACAGTTGTGAAATAGTCGTTTTTGCTACAACCGTAAGTTATGCGCGTGTGATTCCGCACATGATTTTTTTTATCTGTTTTTATTTTCTTCATATTTGCATTTTTTGCAATTGAATCACTTACACGCCGCCAAACGAGTATTTCGCCAGGTATGTATTTAAAACGAATGCTTCAATTTTTCAATATATAAATGACCAACTTGAACATTACACACATAGTCATTCCAGATTTCCGGTAATAATTAAATGATTTGATGAAACCCGAAAAGTTAGTTTAAACTAAAAATTAAATTTCATTTTGAAATTACTTTGTAAATGTCTTTAGCGGTTCTCGATATAATACTACTGTTGTTTTAGTGAGTCATCACAATATAACTAAACGATTCTGTCGTTTGACAAGTGTTAGTAATGTCAGCTTCAGTTTTGCAAGCAACTCCGCTATAATGCATTAAAATGGTCACTGAATTTAATCCAATTGAAAGCGTTTCTTTGTTTTACAGTACGCGACAAAGGAAAGTGATTACCCGTGTTCGAAATACGATCAAATTGGTTTGCCGGTATATACAAGAACATTGTATCCAATGCATAATGTACGGGAATAGCTCTTAAGTGCTGAATCTGAAATAAATCTCAAGAATATATAATCTTTTCTTGCACTCGGATTACAGGAAACAATACTTTCTGTTAAATTACATTTTTAACCGATAGGTTTTGATATTTCTTCGAGGGGCATAATTTTGCTCTTAACCTTCGAGTATTAAACCATACAATCAAATGCAAATCAACTGAGTTCAAATAATATGAACTGTATGTACTTACTAATGCTGTATGACTGTAAGTCGACATGAATTTATTGATTTATACGTATAAATGAGCGAGTAAAAATATACTCATAAAGTGTCCTACAACTAAAGAGGGAATACTGAAAGATCTTAAGGCGGAAGCCAAACTTTCTATATTGGCTATACAACTTAAATTAAGAATGCCATGAAAACATGTGAACCTATAGCTTGGTCATTTGAAGAATCCTCAAACATATCTGTTGTAGCTATGTGTTGTTGCGGTGTAGTACTGCAATGTGCAAGGTAACAGAAATCAATTACATTGTTTTCTGTCGTAAATAAGCCATTAATTTTAAACATTGTAAAATTAATTTGCATAAATCAATTGCTCATGAATTAACGTTTTATTTTACGATGAATAAATTAATTAGTAATTCAATAAAATCATAAGTAATATTGTAGTTTACACTTCTATAAGAACACAGTTATTTCGTCTAAGAATTTTTATGTCTATTTTAAAAGTATTTGTATCTGAAAAAGCTTAGCTGTTGTATGAAACAATATTTTTTGCGTATTTATAAATTTAGGCGTTGAAAATAATAACAAAATTCTTCGGAAAATAGTTAAGAAATGACGAATTGATGAATTCCACCCTTAGTTATGTTTATTTTTGAAAAATTGAGGTGAGAAATAAAAAACGACGTGACAAGATAATTTGTTTTCGTTTTCTATAACTACCATAAGGGATAAAGTTTTTTTTTTAATAAACTTACGGTCACAGTGTTCAGAAAATGGAATAACAAAAGCATTATGTTAATAATTTTTTTTGCAATCCATTATACTTATGAGTATAATATATTATACTCGTAGTGTACATCCCCAGTTATTGTTGTCAATATTTAAACGTCTTATGGCAGCTTGTTAATGAAAAACACAATAGCATTCTCTTCGAAGTACAAAACCAACACTTATGTAATATTATCTAACTTGATCAAGAGAATAATTGTTTCATTATTGCGACGAACAGTTCTATATTAGTTTTTTAAGCATTTAAAACGTGGAACTAATAAATGTAACGTTCAGATTTCAGTTTTATTTTAGACGTAAAATGTGATATAAGTCGTATATTGCACATTCAATATTATCAACTGAACATCTGCGGTCAAACAGCCAATTACCCAAGGTTTTTACGACTTCTTCAACCATAAAAACACTGGGGATAGTAGAGCCTAAGAAGATTATCGTCAACGCCAAAGCCGTCGACACAACTTCATATCTTTCTAAGCTATGGTTGCCTGCATTGCGACACCACCTGGCTAAACTTACATTATATTGGGAATAGCGATAAAATCCAGGAATACGAGTTAAAACAATCAATTAGTTCATACTTCAGGGAATTCGGTATTATTAAAAGCTGATTTGTGTCGTGCTAAATCCATGACTCATGGATTTATCGAGACGTGCAATTAATTAAAAATTAGTTTGGTGGCTCCTTTTATGATGTAGACGATTAACTTAAAATACATCACAGCCTTTAGATCGAATAGACAAAATTGAGAAATAATGAGACAAAAGAACTTTTAGTCTATCGACCAGTTTTTGGAAGCATTGAGATAAATCAAGATAGGACATGGAAAAATATACTTTTATATAATAATCAAAAACAACTAATCTAATGAATATTGAAATGTAAAACGAATTATTTTCAAGTTAAAAAGTTTATGATTTTTTTTCCTAACAAAATTAAAGTTAGCAATATAAAAAACAACACGACATTTGTTTAAATTTGCCTTGGCATCGCACAAAAAAAAAAATCATTGGTTTTAAGACAAATGAACAAGTTGTCTCGCAAAAATGATTTACGACGCTATAGTCCGTTCGTGCCCTCAAATATCAAAACTCAACAGTCCAAACTCTATTTTCATACTCATTTATCAAAGAATAATAAAACAAAAACACATAACAGAGTGTAAATGTATTATACATTGTTGCGAGTTTTTACTAGTCATTCGAAATGAATAAGAGTAAAAATATAGTCTATGTGCTTTGCAATAGAGCACAGTTTTATGTACAAAGTGATTTATTCTTGCAAAAATTACAGACCGCTCGTTAATAGTTAGAGTTAAAGCGAATATTAATAATTAATTAGTATTCGTTTTACTGAAGCAACATAATAATTTTTATTGTGTTTCTTTCAGACTTAATTTAAAAATTGAATCAGTTATATGATAATTACAAAAAAAATTGATAACTATTGAATGATTGATTCGTTTTAATGATTCATTCGAAATTAATTTAATGAATATATTTATATCTTGGATTTATTTTTAATTTACGATGTATATATTATACAATGCAAATCAGTTACTAAAAATCATTAGTTTTGTAATCAGTTTTTTTTTGCCAGTCATAAAAATGAAAATCGGGGCTTCTGAACCACAAGGTTCGTGTAATAGAGACAAAAAGAAAAATACAGACACTCATCGATATTATTCGTATCGATTTACGGTTTCCAGGCGTGTCAAGTTTCCGTCGAGATTCATTGGAAAGTCAGAAATGTGTAGCATGTTTATCGTTTTTACCCTTTCGTATTTTTATCCAGAATCGATTAGTTTTATGTGACTATACAACTCTTGAAGTAGTACGTCTACGGTTGTAAAACGCTAAGAAAAGCTATTAAAATCGAAAAACTTATTTAAACTGATTAAAAATTAATTACCTGATGGAAAATCGTTTTTGCTTTTCATGGGAGTTTTAATTAAAACTAATTCATTCGCTCGTCAACTCCGAGCACCCACACCAGCGTTTTCTCGCGTTTAAAGCAAACTTTTACCACTACAAACAGTTTTTAAAAAGCGATTTTTTTTCATCGCAGAACATATTTTATTCGTTATCAGTTTTTGTCGTAAACATTTTTTTTTAATTAATCGCGGTACGCGAGAAAAATGTATCGCAATGTGCATGGAAGTATTTCCATCAGTTATTTCGGATAAAAAACTCTCACATAATTCAAAAATGGTATCAGATAAAAACTGTTTAGTTGCTATAAAGCATTTACGACATTCATATGTTATTTAAATTTGTTTTGAGGCCACGTTACTTGTTAGGACATGTTTATCATTTATTTTTATTTTTAATTACTAAGTAAAATTTAATCGATAACATACTAAAAATACTTCATTTACGCCTAATGAATTTTAAAGTAAGTTAAATTTATTTTTGACATTTACTTTAAGTATATCTTTGATATAGGTTTATATAATGCTATTTTTCATAAATAAACCTGATTTTTTATTATTAAATGATAATTTCATCAACCTTATATGTATTAATAGTTAGAGTCGATTTAAATGAAGTATTTAATTGGCAGTGACAATTCCGCGAGTAAATAAAGTACGAATTCTAAAACAGAACAATTTTAACAGAACACTTTACAGAAACTAACCAACCGTTAATTGTCTGCGACATAAAATCTAATAATAATTACAATTTTCAAGGAGAAGTAGCAAGTTTGGTCATGTTAGGATTATTGAATAGTGTCCTGTTTGGAGTTTTTAACTCCTACACATGAAAAAAATATTAGAATTGTTTTAACTACAACCAATGATGTTAGATTGTCATGGGTCGAGTTGTCTTTTTTAATTTATGTAAAATATACCAGACTATTGAATTAATTACATTGTGCTGTACTTTCAGGGCCGTGCTCAGGTGGGCAACGAGAGCAATTGCCCTAGGGCGTTACACATTTGCGGGGCACCAAAAAAATATGAATATATTTTTTTTGCATGAATGTTGTCTTGACTAAAAACATATTAAATGAGGGTGCCAAAATTAAGATTGGCCAAGGGTGCCAATGACATTTAGCGCGGCACTTTGACCATTGATAAATTTCAAAATAAGAAATATGAAAAGTTATTGCAAAAACAACATGTCTCTTGATTTAAACTCTTACGGGTGTAGATTAATTTGAATCCAACTCTAACCATTACCAATATTTTCAAAACGAGAAAGTCTCTAAACAAACTAAAGTTATAAACTAGTGTTGTTTTAATCCAGCAGATATAATTAAAATCATCACTCAACTAGTCTTTGGCGAATATCTACATTCGATTGTGTACGACTACAACCGCACTCGGTTAAAATAACTATCCAATTTTTGTGTGTATACAAAATGTACTCAATTTTCGATCATCGAAATACTTAGATACATCACACTGTAGTATATAATGTTACTTTCTTCAGCACAGCAACTCGATATTACAATACTTAATGTAGGAAACGCGTTTACATGGAATACGTGGGTATACACGTAGTTGATAATCCGTCAACCTACTGTAAGTTTCCAGTACAAAAGACGCATGCAAATGACAGCCATTATATCGCCTAAGTCTTAAACTTTAAATGTCAAACGGCGGCAATAATAATAACGTGTACAACGAAATCATAATAAATAATAACATCGGCTTAATAATATGACAACGGTTAAGAGTACCGGTCGGAAGTCAAAATTTAATTATATTAAAAGTTAGGTGGATATTTTTGGTGTAATATGACTTTTTATAATTAAAATAAATCGTATGTGATAATGACTTTGGTATAATCGAGTTCATTTGTTTTAATTTAAACTATTTTTTTAGTTTGTACGGTTAAGCTTTGGTTTACCGGCTTTGTTTAGTATACGTGTGGTTTACGAAAATTAATTTGTAAAAATAATGGAGATGTGTAGCAGCGATAAAAATTCATACTTTTCCCTCCTCGCGTACTTGCCATGGTTTATCGACGACGGGGAATTTTATTTGGAGCAAATATTTTATGTGCTCTCCTATTGTTGTGTATGGGAGGGGCTGGATGTACAGGGTCGATTCGTCGGCTATCCTTTTCAGTAAATGAGAATTTCGAAGTATATTAATAATAATTTGCCCATGGGTGGTGGTAAAAGTGTCGTGGCCACGAAATGTTCCACAGTAATGGACCGCCGTGACGGGATTTTAATGAAAGCTTGTATGGTGGCAGGATGAAAGGGCTCAGAACGCAATTATCCACAGTCTTTGGTGACCTTTGGCAATCTCACCTGCGATATTAATGCCAAAGGGTATACATAAATTAGCTTTGTCCAGCTTTAAAATATATAAGGTGCAAACAAGGTGGTATCAAAAAGATAAAGACAAATAAAGATAAACAGATAAGGAAATCGTTCGATTTTAGTACGAATAACGCGAATCAATTGATTTCTATCAATTCGTCGGCAATAAAAGTGTTGCACTTAAATGTTGTTAACGGCTGGCCGTATCCATTAGACGAAAACCATCGAGCAAAATGAATTTGTACCAAAGAAAAAGATAAAATTAAAGTGCTCACCCGCTAGTCTCGCACTGCCACTTTTAGTTGTATTATGTTATTATTGTTAGTGTTATACTAACAATACCCATGCAAATTCTACATTCAAGAGCTCGCCACATAAATTAAAACGCCCGAGACTTTTAAATGTGTTATTTAATTTTGGTTGACAAGGGGAGAAATGTAAGTAAACGCTTTTAAACTTAAAATGTTTATAGTTTGTTTGTTATTAAAATCACAAGAACAAATGATTCATTTTATTTAACTATACGACTAGCAAAAGCAATCGCATAAATAGAGTAACACATTTAAACTTTATTTGCGTGAAGAGCGTTTTAAAACTTGTAATTCTGGCACGTCTTGCTTCGTTTGACGTGAGGTTATGGCCATAAGCCTTAAGACTTTGTGGATGCCCAAGTGTATATATATATATATATTCTATATCATCTGGAACAGTTTGTATCTAAAAGTCTTTTTATCGACTACAAGTTTTCAATTGTTCTATTACAATATCTAACGTTTAGTTTATTGGTATTATAAAATTATATATCTTAAAAAAATATTTGCATTGATTTTGACTTTTTTAAAATAGGAAACGGATGTTCAGATTTATTCAAATACATATTTTTAAATATTGAATAGTACACAATTAAGATTGTCGTTTAATGTTATTAGGCAGAATCATTAATTCATCTTAACGTCAAGTCCATCTAAGGTCACAGAAGACATTTACGGTGTATCACTTATCCTTATATTTCTACTATCCTCATAAATAATTATTCCTTGCATGTCTACATACAGCGTATAATATGTATATAAGTTATTATTTCTTAAGTTTTTCTTGTTGTGGTGAAGCGTTTCTAGTTTTCATTTTATCATGAGAAGAATTAGATTGTCCAGACATCAAATATGAAAAAACATGTAATTTATTTGAACACTGTACGTGGAACATGGACAATATAACAGATTATAATGAACATAAAAAAGTATTTCATGTTGTGAACAAAAAGGGAAGTTGGTATGTCGTCACAACGTTTATCTAAATGACAGATGTAATCAACAACGTCGCCTTTATACATCAAATGAGACTCGGGTCCCGCAGTGATGATAAAATGCGCATAAATTCGGTTAAGTTCTATGTCCAGTATCCAAATATAGTATGAAGTATTTCTTGCTGAAAAAAAAACACTGCATGGTCCAATTTTCACGGCTGAAATGATCTGCGTGACGCCAACATCTTCGTTAGATTAGGCTGATTAAAAGGGACATTAAATAATTAGAATGGCGGAAATACAATTGCTTTTAACGCGACTATCATTACCGAACAGAAGTGGCAAATGTTATTTATTGCAAAACTCCTACCCCTACTCACCTAACAAACGCGGCTCGCACGACTACCCTGTGCGAACCGAGTGCGTTTATCGTCGAGCATACTGATGTGTTTGTCAGAAGTATATTTGGAACAACGATAATAACGCATGCATAATACATAGCGTATAGTGTATACGTGTGGCATTATAAGTTAATTAGTTGGGCATGGGAGTTAGTATGCAGTTAGTGAGAGGCATGCAATACTGCCATTGCTATCGCCACAACAGGGTATTATAGAAATCCTGGGAATGCCGCAGTTGAATAGACCCCGGAAATTGTATGGCGAATAATCAACGGGTCATTCAAATGACAGATTATTGTTCCGTTTTTGAAATCCTTACTTTTACCAAAGCCATCAGTCATTACATCAAAGTGCAGAATTTCTAAAAGGTTCGAGTGTTCTATCAAACATTTTCACACTTGGTACATGACATACACACTTTTAACGCATAGTGTTGTAGTTATTTAACGCTTCTTTGATCTATTATCGATTGTCAAGTTTCTTTTGGATAGTTTTGTATAAATGTATTCAAGTTACATTGCTATTATTTTTTTACAGATAGGCTGCCAGAAGTACAAACATCAACACGCCTCGAAATAATTTTTTAAGTCTTATAGTAGCACGGTTAGTTAATTCCGTGAAGCATTTGTATTTGTATGTTGTTTTTTTTTGTATTTCATTTGTCAAAACCGTCGAGACGTCTACTACATGCTTTTAACCTCACGTGTCAGTTACGTACACAAACTGTCTCGGATCTAAGCTCCAGCGTTTGACATTTTAATTTTAGTAAGACTTTAAAGTATTAATAGTTAAACAAACTAAACGGATTTCGACAGAACATTCATTGGTAAACGCATATCTTTATCGTTCAGACCTAACTGCAGCTACCAACGTTTACTTATAATCAGATCTTATTGATTTTATAGTCTCAAAACTATTATATGTACTTACAATCTTTCCAATCTGCCGAGGTGCTTGAACGCTCCTTTCTCTATCGTATGGATTTGATTGTCTGACAATTGCCTGTAAAAAAAAAAAAGAAACCAATAACAATATTAAGTGAAACGTTTTCCAATTAAAAAAGTTTTTTTGCAAAAAGGCAAAGCTGAAGGGAGATCGAAGTGTAGAAAAAACGAGAGAAAATATCAACGGATGATGTTGATTGTGTTTTTTGAGTACAAAATAAACAATGTAGACTACGAATTTAATTAGTAACAAATCCTTCCGACCGGAAGAATAATTCTCGACTTGTTCGACAGAGTTATCAGAAAAAGTATGGATATTTTAACAAAATTACTTTTCACGTCTCAATTGAGTTTGAAAACTTTTACTTACAAAGTAAATAGAACTTCAGAACACGACGGTTCAAGTTATAGAGTTTTGAGGACTTTATATTACACCTCTACTGAACAATCATAACTATATTGAAGGTGTATGTATATATCTTATCAGTTAATACCTCTTGCGTTATAAAACAAGATATTTGTACAACGATAAAATGTACTCAATTGTGCTTCAGCGATGGGTCAACGAGAATTTAATCATGTGATAACTGGATTTATCAATCAACTTATTCATTATCATACTTGATTATGACAAAAAAATACCTCGTCATTTAGGCTTTTCGATAACACAGTGAATAGTGTTAAATTTATTATTTGTCGTGGGTATTAAGAAAACATTATGTAAATAAACACAAGTATTCAAATATGATGTCAATACAACCGATATCGTCCGATGTGAACAATTTATACTATCAAGACAAATAATTGATATTATGTTAAGTATGTTTGAATTAAATGAATAGAATAGGCCAACAGTAAATTGTCGATTAGTGGTCGTTAAAAAACAATAATACACAGCAGTAAAAGGAATAGATGTTATTGATGCAGTCCGTTCGAAAAAATATTGACAATATAGAGGTAGTTAAAAAATTGAAGATGTTGATTTTACGTAGAAAAAAAAGTAATAAAAACGTAGTTTTTATAGAAGAGAACTGAGAAGACCCGAATATAATGTTTACAAGTGGCCACGGGGCGCACTTGTAATATTTTTCTGTGTATACTTGGAATAAATAATAAAAGTCTGAAGGCGAAGTTCACGGGCGTGGAAAAAATAAGTTTCCGTTCTTATTAACACAAATAATGAGAAAACGAGTTGTTTTTTTCAATACATACAGTGCCTTTTTACATTCGCCTTTATTCCGCTTCGGTATATCGAAAAATAATTTTAAACGTATATGCGTAATATCTATATACCAAATATCGCTCAGTATTAAGCTAAAGTTGGATAAAAAAAAAAATGAAAGAAAAAAAAATTACATTTTTGATGCAGTTGTTTTTCCTGCTTTTGTATTTCCTTCTGCGTGCACCACATTCGGGGAACCTAAAAGGTACACTGAGGTAAGTCGGAAAAGCGTCCTATGTTTGTTTAACGTCCTACACACACACACAGAATCGTCTGTGTAGGATATATTAAATTTTTACAGGTCGCCAGACAAAATCAACAAACATAAAGTAAAAAAAGGGGACACAAACGCATAAATCGAGTTTCCTTTTAATGTACACACATTTACTCTTAAGTATTTACTATTTTGTTTTTATATATAAAAAAAATAACTGAGATGAAATATACTCACAATACTCGTAGATTTGTCAAATTGGTCAAATCGGTCGACGATATGGTAGTGATGTTGTTTCCTTGCAAATCTCTGAAAATAAGATAAACTGAATTAGACGGGCGATATTTATTGCACTACAGAGTTGTAAAATACCAAAATGATCAAATTTTATTATTACAAAATTAACACACTACAATGTTTTTCAAATGTTATGGACCATTTGAGAATTCTAATAAAACTTGTTTAACTATCATTGATAGTTTTTATGTGTTTGTGGTATAAACCACTTGTAGCAATGACAAAACATTCATTGGTTACACGTGTAATAAAATTTCAATGTTTTATGTTTCACGCATAGTTGTCCTGTTGATTTGTTCACTGTGGACACTGTGTGGTTTGGGTTACACGTTGCTAAATGTTAGTTCTAAGGGTCAAAAGGTACTTTGCATACCATCTCAGCCAGTTACTCGTGTCTGCAATTTAATGTTGTGTTTTTTTTTTATGAGACGATTTAACACTGTGACCTGAATATATACGACCCATTTATCACTCATAAATCAGACATGTCGAATTACCGACAAACAATAAGCCAATCACATAGGGTAAAGTGTAAATTAATTGGAACATTTTTAATTATTATACTAATTAAAGATGATGATTTAGTTTTTGAAATCAATTTACTTTTTTTCATAATTAGGCAAATAGTTTGCTTTNAATGATTTAGTTTTTGAAATCAATTAACTTTTTTTCATAATTAGGCAAATAGTTTGCTTTATATTTTTGCCAAACTTTTACTCAACTGTGAAAGGGACTATTAAAAAAACTATTGATAAGAAACTGAGGGATCTGAATAACATCAATTGTTAGGAAAAAATAATGATGCCAATTATTGTAAATTTTGAAAATTTTTTTAAATAATATATTATTTAAAAAAAAAGTATTGAACTAACACTTAAATAAAAAAAAATTTCATTAGTTTTAGATTTTAATTACAAAGTTATTAGCCTAACTAGTATTTACATTATGTGCAGTTTAAGAAATAGGTATATAATTGAAACCGTTACAGAACTAATTTTAAAACAGATTAATTCATTTAGTTGATATCAAAATGTGTCACGTGAAAGTTTAGGATAAGGGTAGTCGACCCCAAGTAGTTGGGATTAAGGCGAGGAAGAAGAAGAAGTTGATATCAAAATGTACATCATATTTATTGTTTGTTTTTAATGTTTTTGACAAGGTAGTTTTTCTATGTTTTACACGTTTTCTGTAGGCATAATTCAAATTCTTATAAAATCTAGTTAAACTCGTGTAACTAAATAGATATACTGATTAAAACTTAGGCATTTTACTTGCGGTAACTGTATACCTTACGCTCTTTGAGTCTAACGCGGTGAAACGATAAACCTTAAATATGGTTAATTTTTACACAAGTTGTCCCGCGGAGAAGGTAAACAATTCGACATCGTTTGCAATCACGTGCACCCAACGCCGTACAGATGTGTTCAAAGATAACGCATCTACACGCGCAGCAGGTACACAACAATTTCGTCTAAAACTCATCCGAAACACATTTTTGCTAATTTTTTTATCCAGATTTTATTGTGTCGATGAAGAACCTCAAGCAAAAAAAAAAGGGAGAGAATCGATAATTTTTCAGTACAGAAAACCACTTAGACCATCGGCATACTCTTTGTCTGTTCAAACGTTCGTGAACATGGTCGATTTGTGTTTTTCATCGAGCACAGAAGCAATGAGAATAGAAAATGATGCGGCGACGACGAGGACCACCTTATATTCCGATCATAATCTCTTTCAGATAAAAAGCGCCCCAACAAAGCCGCTTAACTTGTTTGCTGGCTTTCCACTTGAATAGTTACCGTTTGACGAGAGCCAGCCAAACAACATAATGTAATACCCGCAGTAAAATACTATTTCATACAATATTTATACTCCCTAGTAATTTTTTTCCTTCTTCCTGACCAATACTGTTATTATCCTTTACCAGACTGTGCCATTTACATAACACTGTTGCCCGGTACTGAATGTAATACCAATCGTATTCATTCTTGTAAAAAATACTTTTGATGAAATATAAGGTTAGGGATTTACACGATTAATAAGAAAAAATATTTTACTACTTTGATAAAAAGTATTTTAATATGTTAAAATTATACTTGAATGGTTCTAAATATTCTTCATGAGTTACAATATTTTGTAAATTCAAAATATTTTAATCGAGGATATGAATTATTAGTTTTTAATTATACATCATTGAATGTCACAGTTAGTTAAGGTACAATAGCTAATTAGTATAGAATAATTACTAATTTATTCCGCCATAAATGTATAAATTATTTAAATTACTAGATCTAAAATCAACAAAATTAACGTGTAAACAATACTATTAATGGATATTAGTAAAATAATTATTTTTATACAATATACATGACAGTCATAAGCTAAAATTGGGGGAAGCTTAGCCTCTCAGAAATTCTAGAAAAATTACACATCATATATAAACAAATTACATAAGTTCTCCGAAAATTTTGTTGACAATTGTATCTATGTTAAGTGATATGTGGTATTTGAAAAGACTATCTAAGGATTTTAAATATATTATAACAACCAGAAATCATCTAGAAATACCGACTCCGAGAAACTAATTAACGTCTGGGTAATTATTTATTGTACTTACACAGTTGTTTTAAAACATGTGACAATGTTTATACTATTGTTTAAATACATCATAATGTACGCGCCAGTCGTGGCAGTCACACCCGACGCGTAATTGCCTTAGTAAGAGGGCAGTTCTTTTTTCACTTGTAAAAGTTAAAATTACAAATAGTGAGTACACGATAAATAAAAAAGGGGTAATTTGTTAGTCTCAAGTCAACGGTAAACATTATAGTAGAACGGTATTGTTTTCTGTTCTAGTCGAACGGCTAACTAAAAAAAATTACCAATCGATTTGTCTGTTCTCGACATACGAAAAAATCGAAAAACGTAGAAAAAACGTCAGTAACTATACAATACATTGACTTTTGTTCATATATATGAGCGCACGTTTTCGTTAAAGTTGACATATTATATGGAATGGTAAAAAACCAGTAAGAGTTAAACTGCACCAAGAATCAATAAATGGAATAATTTTTCTATTTTTTTTTTTTTACATTTTGACGTCGAGTCTTATTTTAGTATAAGCAGTTGGACGTTACAAGTCTATTGATGATCGTTATTGGGCGAGTTCTATTGTAATATTGAGTAATACAAAACAAAAACTAAAACATAATTAAAAGAATGACTTGCATAGTTCAGAAATTATATTTTTATTGTATAAAAGTATCCAAGCGAATGTCTACGCAGCCGTCATTACATTTCGCGCTTTTACAGGCTTCTTCCCGACAATATCGTTAAAAGAAATAAAGGTAACAATTAATTGTTTTTGATGATAACTTTGATGCTCCGTTTATTAAATCAACGACCACTTCACCCTTTGCACGGTACTTAAAAGCAAACGTAAATTAATGAAAACGACGTACCGCGGCGATGCGATCAATCGTCGACAAGATAGTGAAAAACTAACTGCACGTCAGTCGTTCATGTAATTCGTTTGAAAAACTGAGAGTTAAATATATTGAACAATAAGAAAACACATTTACTGTCGTTTGGGCTATCTCCGAGACATAGAGATAACTGCCCGATCGCTGACTCCGTGTCTAAATCGGCTTATAAATCTTAGACCAAATGAGAGAGATTTAATACACTGACATTGGTATGTGTCTTTAGCCCCATGAATGTCAGTAAAAAAACAATGGCATAAATTATCCCCTGTCAAACGCTATAATTATACATGTATGGTAGAGCATGAACGAGAAACTAGGGTGAATCCAATTTGTCACCATATTCTTTGTGGTGAAGTGCATTGGAACAACTAAAACAAAAACGTCTCGGTTAAAATTAACTTAATTTAATATAAACCGCCGTCAAAGATTCAAAATGATAGTGAGCAAAAGTCTCGATATATTTGGCAGTATTATTATAATAACATGTTACATATTTAATGATGAATAATTAACTTTTGAGATGTAAGTGTGGCGTTTTGTTTTGTAAGTTTGATTCAAGTAGAACTCTTGGTAAAAGTCACTGTTAAAAATTTTCTTTGAAATTAAATAAAAGGCCAAGTTTAGAAAACTCGTTAAAACTTTAAAATATTGTAGGCACAACTAATAACAACTATTTAATTCGAAAATTAACCTACGAGTTTTTCAGTTTGTACTTACATTTGATACTTAATTTTTAATAATTAATAACAAAAATTTAGACGACTTAAGAAATAAGTATTGAGATTTATATATAAAAAAAAATTATTTCAAGTACAATTTCAACAGAAGTAATTGGACTTTTATTGAGAATAATGGATTAATACAATACATTAATGTGGTATTAAGTTTTAATGGTGAGGTGATCACAATGTTATGACCCTGTGATCATAGACATAAATTGAAATTATGGTACATATTCCGTAATAAGCGTGGCGTGGTGGTATGCAGCATGTCCATTGAAAGTCTCTTTATGTGAAAGGGAAGCAGTTAGTCGAGGGGAGGTTATCGAAAATGTTTTGAAATAAGGCTGGTGGATAATTAAATTTCTGTCGATTATTATTTAAAAAGGTGCGTGGGGAACTGCTGCCGACAAAGAAAGAGGCTTGTTAACGTGCGGCTGCTGTCAAAAATAGTTGCCAGGGAAAAAGGGTCCTACGCGTGCTCGGGCAGATGTTCTCTTAGTCGCGTGTTGGAATATAATGTGAATTATCTTGTTGTGCCCAGGCGAAATATTCTAACGCATATTATATACGCTCGTATATGTGCTCTTTCTCTGGACTAAAAGTTTGTGCTATCGACTGGAGAAGGGTAAAGGCCAATTAATAAGTGCAACACCGGGTGCCTCTCCTTTTTCATTAGCCGTCTGTGCCCGCGAATCACAAGGTAAACTTTCACAGGGAATTTTACACCCGGAGCAACTACAAAGTTTGACAAACGAGTGAAATTTTCCAAAGGGCTCTTTTGAGAAAATACTCGAGATTTATACGC